AAACAATTAATTTCCTGATGTAATCGAACAAAACAATACCATCATGATGCTTCCAACGTATTTCCCCGGATTGCTGACTAACACCAACAAACGATCCTTCGAGAGTAAAAAACACAAGAGAGTGTATCATTTTGTTCCGCCACCAGTTCGGTGTTGGGACTCTTAATAACCAATATTCAAGTCAAATTTTAATTGCAACAGCAAATAACAAATATTCAAGTCAAATTTTTAATTGCATCAGCAAATAATTATAGTAATTATAGTATCAGTAATAATTATACATAAATCTATCTAAAAAATGAATGAATTTTTTATGAATTTAATATAAGCAATTTTTTTTTCATATTTATGAGAAAATAATAAAGATCATGTAAATTATTTTTTATTTTAATAGTTTTTTTGACAAAATTTCATACTAACAGAACATTCTCTTTTTAAATATAACAAGTATGCTATTGAATTTGTTAACTCAAATATGTTGAGTTGATTGCAAAGTTAAGATTGTTTCATCAAGAATTACGTACTCAGATCGTTCACATTTTTTCTTCTATGTATATTACTGTTTCGTTTAACAAATTATGTATCATTTTTTCAGTTTATACTTGAAAAGGACCACAACTATATAGTTGAAACGTTATAATTTCTAATTAATAAACAATAATTTGGCTAGTTTGGTCTATTAATTTAGAAATGATCCTTTGAATAATTGACTAGCGAGATATTAATATATTTAATTTATAAAAATTACATTACGTACATCCAAGTTGGGTTGTCCCCAAAATGCAAACATTGACAGACTAAGAAGCAGCCAAATGTTCATCATCATGAAGAACATCTATGAATATCTTTGATCATACAATATGTTGTAATAAGTACAGCACTGTCAGAATGTGTCAATACTTTTCTTCTGCGTAACACTTGTAATATGCATATACCATTTAATGCAATTGTTACATCCTCTTTCTCCAGAATGCAAAAAATGGGAAAAAACACATTGTACACTAACAACGGTGCTTATTTTTTTTTCTTCAGATAAGAATGGAGCACAATGATCATCCTGTAAAAATGATTGTTATAGAAGACATTTAGACAAATTTTATTACAAATGTCGAATGTACCTGAAGCGAGGATAAATCATCTTAATAAATAAATTTCATCCATTCTCAATTGGCATCTTCAGCTTCCAAGAGATTCAACAATCAATGAAAGCTGTTTCATTGTCGTACATACGAAATTATACGCAAATTGTGGAATATTTTATATAGACACGTGTCTCATACCATATATTTTTCTATATATATATAATATATGTAAATAATTTACGCATGCGCGGAAAACAAATCCGAAAATCCCTAGCGATCGAGTGCAATTGGTTCTTACTAGAGTCCCTAGAAATAATTAAAATAACATAAAAAATAAACAAGGTTGGAAAATAACAAGGAACACACACTTTTGCATAAGCTGTCACGTCCGAGTGACCTTCTTTCCTCCTCTATTACTCTAAGTCTAAGACGAAAGGGTTAGCTCTCTATTTATTTAGGGCAATCTGCATGCACCGACTATACTCTGGTGCGCCGAGAGCTGGAACTGACTTTTCGGATCTGGGGAATTTTAGGAATAGAGAATGTTTAGTAGGAATATATAATATCGTCTAGGAAAATTAATATTAGTTCAAAATCGTATAAAGTATGTTATTAATAAAACAAAGTAATAGTCTATTATCACGGATTTGAACATTTAGAATAATCGGTAAATAATCGCGAGTTGAGATTATTAAAGATTTATAGCGTTTTCGATTGGGAAAAAGTTAGTGCGCACTCAGTTCACACGAACACTGGACAAGTTCCATGGGTTGCACTGAATAGTGCAGGTGAAAAAGAAAACGCCGAAATTTTCAGTGCCACTTGAGTTGACTATTCCGGGAAGAACGAAAAAGTAACCTCGACATCTTGTGTTCAGTTAAGGGTCGACAGGTCGGTCGGCCAAACTCCGAATTGATGTTGGAGACCTCGCGCGGTGACAACGCGAAACTCCGATTTCAGTGTTGCCAACGCCGAGAATCCAATTCTCGGGTTTTATGTAGTGGTGCATGTCTGTACACGTACATACACCATTGCATTGCTCACGCGGACGCACCGTAGAGAGACAAGGACCGATAATCACGTGTTCTCCTTGTTCCTCTACCGTGCCGGTATACGCGAGATGCCGCCTGAAAATGCTTTCTGGCCTTCCGTAGCAGAAGGCAGTAGCGTAGCAAGGCTAATAAGTACCTACTTTTTATAAATTTTATATATCCTTATGCACATATGTGCGTATATATATATATATATATATATATATATATATATATATTATATAAGGGATATGTTGATTATTCTTGATTTCTTTTTGATTATTGATGCTATTGTATAATTTGCTCCAATAACTTATAACGTGAAAGAACGTACCGTTGAGTAATATATAATCAATGCAAGGATGTTCAGTATATCATCCAGTAAATTAGAGTTCAAATATATCAATATCAATTTTTTTATAATACAATATATATATATATATATATATATATATTGGAATATAGAAAAATGATAAAATATATTTCGGCGATTTAAAAATTTTTTAATATATTGAAAATATTTTTACTACATATATATAAGTGTAAAATAATTCAGAAAATAAATTTAATAAAAATCTACATACCAGCTGTGTGCATGTGTGCAATTGATTTATTGAAATTTATTTACGGAAGTATTTTGCATTTATATATTTATAGTGTGTGTAGTTGTAAAATGATTAAAATATTTTCAATATCAAATTTTTAAGTTTATCGCCTATATAAAAAATATATTTCTATGATTTTCTATATTCTAATATATTATAAAAAAATTGATATTGATATATTTGAACTCAAGTTTTTTACGTGATTAAATATTCTTGCATTGAGCCATCATACGTTACTCGTAAGTTCTTTCATATCTGTATATATATATATATATATATATATATATATATATATATATATACACTTATATATATATTATTATATATATATAATATTTCATTTATTTATAAAATACATTTTTAATTCATATTCAACCTGAATGATATTTTCTATATGTTTATGCTATCCTCCGATCTATCCCTAACAAATTAGGAGGTGTAATTGCATTATTATCATCAATTATTATCTTATATTTTTTACCTCTAATTTCTATAAAATTTAATTCATTATCATTTTATCCTTTAAATCAATATTTATTTTGAATTTTCATTAATATTTTTATTCTATTAACATGAGCAGGAGCTCAACCTTTTATCATTATTAGACAAATTTTATCATTATGTTACTTTCTTTATTTTATCTTATTACCTTTCCTAATAAAAATTTGAGATTTAATTATTTTTAAATAAATATTTTAAAATTTATTATTATAAATAAATTTAAAATATTAAAAATAATTATATTTAATATTTAAATTTTTTATAAATTACTATTAAATTAAGTTAATAATCTTGAATTTAAGTTTATGTTTTGAAAACATATTAAAGAAATTTTAATTTTCTATTAACTTTTAAACATTTAATTTTTTTTACTAAATTATTATTAATAATATAAATTTAAATCCAAAAATTAATAAAATATAAACCAAAATTATTGGTAAAATAATTTTCCAACATAAATATATTAATTTATCATATTGTATTCGAGGAAGTATTCCATGTATAAAAATTACTATTCTACATAAAATATTAATTAAAATAAAAGTTAAAATTATTGAATATTTTAATAAATTCCTAAATATATAAATTCTAATTAATCTAAAAAAATAATTATTCCATATTCAGATAAAAAAATTAATGTAAACCCACCCCTAAAATATTCAATATTAAATCATCTGACTCACTTTCGATAAAATCTATAGGACTTCGATTTAATTCAGCTAAAATCCTAATAAACACTATAATAAACAAAGGATATAAAACTACTATATATCATAAATAAAATTGATAATTAATAAAATCAAAAAAAGAATATCTCTCTCTTATTAATATAATAACTAAAATAATTAAAATAAATCTTACTTCATATGATAATATTTGTGAAACTGATCGTATTGCTCCTATTATTGAATAAATCGAATTAGCTGATCATCCCATAAAAATTATAACATACCCTCTAATAGTTATAAAAACAATTATTAATAAAATAGAATAATTTAAAAAATAAATATTAGTAATGTAAGGAAATACTAATCATATTATTATTAAAACAAATCTAATTATAGGACATAAATAAAAAAATTATAATTAGATTTATATACATAAAATAATTCTTTATTAAGTAATTTAATAGCATCACTAAAAGATTGAAATAATCCTATAAATCCCACCTTATTAGGTTCTTTACGAATTTGTACATATCTTAAAATTTTTCGTTCCAATAAAGTTAAAAAAGCTACCCCAACTAATATAATTAATAACAAAATTAACAATCTTAATATATTTAACGCACTATAAAAATATAATCTTAAATTTTGACAAATTATTACTTGTATAACTTTTTTCTATTATACATCATTAAAATTCTAAATTTAATACACTTAAATTTTGCCAAAGTAATTTTATTTATTTATATATATTTGATCAATTAAATTTATTCATTAAAAAAAATATAATTTAAAAAAAAGTCCTTTTGTACAAAATTTTCTTAATTTTATTATAGATAGAAACCGATCTGGCTTACACCGATCTGAACTCAAATCATGTAAAATTTTATTAGTCGAACAGACTAAAATATTAAACTTCTTTATTTAATTTTTATTTTAATTCAACATCGAGGTCGCAATCATTTTTATTAATATGATCTTTCTAAAAATATTACGCTATTATCCCTAAGGTAATTAATTTTTATAATTATTATAAAAAAAAAAATTTTCTTAATTTAATAATCAATCCTTTATAAAAATTTCATTAATTAATGTTAAAATTATCTTTAAATTAAAGTTCATTTTATTTAATTATCCTCCCAATAAAATATAATCATTAAAATAAAATTTATTTCCTTAAATAAAAAAATTATATTAATTTAATAGGGTCTTCTCGTCCCATAATTTCTTTTAAGAATTTTAACTTAAAATTTAAATTTTAAATCTACAAATTAAAACAGCTTTAATCAATTCCTTCATTCCAGTTTTCATTTAAAAAACAATTGATTATGCTACCTTTGCACCGTCAATATACTGCGGCTATTTAAAAATCACTGAGCAGAAATAATTTTAAATTATTATCAAAAAACCATGTTTTTGTTAAACAAGTAAATTAATGAAAATTAATGTGTATATGCATTACAATATATTCAATACAATATTCTCTTAATTTGAACGAAAATTATAAATAACTTATGCGTAACATATATTTTTGGACTCCTAAATAAAAAATATATTATATTATTTGCAAAAAATAAGATGAAATATTTTTTATTCGAATAGTCTCAACTGCTCTTTTAGCTGAATGTTTAGAAGCAATGAAAAAAATCGAGGATCTACGAAAAATTTAAGTACATTTCTAAGATTTTTTTATATGATATAAAAAAAATATATGGTATATAAATTGATTTTTTAATTTTTTTATTAATTTTTAATTACACACACACACACACAAATAGATTCTTATTATTTAAAATAGTTTTTATTTTTGTTCTTTATTTACATATGCATACATATACAAAAAAATAAAAATAATATGATAGCCTTTTTGCTGACATTATCTCTCAATATTTGCATCCGTGTGCTCACGTATTAGTTTTTGTACCTACATGGACGCTACTACATATGCGATGTAAGAGAGACAAAGATGGAATGATGCTCTCTCCTTGTCAAGCAGTCAGCATGTTACCACAGAAATTTCCCCTGCTCCTTATGAATCTAGTGAGAATCTTATCGTCCAGATATTTCATAAAATAAGTGACATAACTTCGTGAATTTTTTTTAATATATTCTTTATATAATAAAGCAGTCCTCTAAAAGGCCGGATTTTACATTTTGCTCTTAAAAATTTATAATAAATAAAATACGGACTCGCGGCTAACCCAACCTTACCCGTTCCTAACTGTGCATTCCCCCAAGTTTATTAAAAATTTTTATTTTTATCTTTTTTTCATAAAATAGCTCTTTAGAGGACTACAAATGAGCTTACTGATTAAGAATATCCTAAATTTAATAAGATTCATTCAATATTTTTGCTAATATCTGGAAAATAAGAATCCGTAATTCCCGGC